GGGGAGAAAATGAGGAAGACTCTAGAGAGAGACAATGGGGAAGACTCTAGGGGGAGACAATGAGGAAGACTCTAGAGAGAGACAATGGGGAAGACTCTAGGGGGAGACAATGAGGAAGACTCTAGAGAGAGACAATGGGCAAGACTCTGGGGGGAGACAACGAGAAAGACTAGGGGGAGACAATGAGGAAGACTCTAGGGGTAGACAACGAGAAAGACTCTAGGGGGAGACAACGGGGAAGACCCAAGGGGGAGACAATGAGGAAGACTCTAGGGGGAGACAATGGGTAAGACTCTAGGGGGAGACAATGGGGAAGACTCTAGGGGGAGACAATGGGGAAGACCCAAGGGGGAGACAATGGGGAAGACTCTAGGGGGAGACAATGGGGAAGACTCTAGGGGGAGATCCAGACCTTATCTGAGGGTCTGATGAATATAAATCCCTCTCTAACCAGTAAATACCACAGAAGGAGCTGGAAGCTGGTGTTTCTATCATGGACTCATTTCTCCAGCTGCTTATCCTGGATAATCCGCCTCCGATGTAAACGATGATTTTTTAGATAGTTCTCAGTATGAGTTACAGACCCTAAGCCCAGAAAACGCCAAACGCCACCCCAAGGAAACACTGGAACTCTAAGAACTCAACCTTGCGGTCAAACTGTTGGATTATGGGATTGTTATGATTGAAGACTGTAAAGTGCCTTGAGATGACATGTGTTGTGAATTTGGCGCTATATAAATAAACTGAATTGAATTGAAAGACTAAATGTTTTTGCCATGTGAGATGTCTTTATTTCATTAACAATAAGGTGTTAATTGTGATGTTTTTCTCCCTTTTAGAGCATAGTGTCAAAATACGGCTCTCAGTTCCGAGGGAACTCTCAGCACGATGCCCTCGAGTTCCTCCTGTGGCTTCTGGACAAAGTTCATGAAGATGCCAGTCCAGGTTCTGACAACAACAACAGCAGCAACAGTAAGACCAAAGGCAGCAGTAAGGTGAGCTCACTCTGTTCACCATGACAGACGCAGTTTGGCTCTATTCTTCTATCTGTCCCTGGTGAAAAAGATCACAGCTGCCCCTCATGTTTTCAGCTCCTCCAAGTTTCTTTGATATCTTTGTTGGAAAAATGTTAATGCCTGAAATTCTGCAGCAAAGAGCTGATATGATGAGCCTAATGTTTGACTCCACTACGCCAATGTTCTTCACAACGGTACACCAAGTTTATCACGTTGCAACTCACTAGATTTTAGTGATAAAATATTTAGAAGTGAAAGGAGAAATGATTCCTAGTTTTTTTATTTATTTAAATCTATCAGAGTTTGGGGGAATCCAACCAACCTCCCACCCAGCCAGA